TAAAGTATCTGACCTTACAGAGAAGATTCTGGAAACTGCAGCTGAGTATCCAACTTTGAAGACTCAGCAGATTTCCTGATTGACTGTCTGCTCTGTTGTTGCTCAGAATTAAATCATTTTGACGACCATACACGCAGACTTTCTGTGCATTTATTCCAACGTGTTTCTGCATTTTTGGTAAATCATGCCACGACAAGGGTCATGATACAGGTAAACATCTGAGTTTGACATGTATGAAGAGGTGAATCATTAATTGTTAACCTTTAAATAAAAATTCAAAACACCTAACTCCACATCATAAGATCTGAACTATAATCTTATGTTGTACAAATCAGCTTTGAATTTTTGGTACAACCAAAGGGGATGTGAGTTTCAGCTTCATTGAGTCAAATAATCCACCCAATGAAAGCTTCTACCTGTTAAAATAATAATAATAATTTCACTACTTTGCTCTTTTGAAACCTTCACTGCTGATTAACAGCCCTTCATTAAGAACAGGTCTGATTCTGTTCTGAACACTACATGGGCTCTGGAACATTTCAACAAATTATTGTCTGTGAACAGTTTGCTTCACCATCCACAAATGTTGGTAAAAGCTCTATCATGCAAAAAAGAAGCCTCATGTGAACATTATCCAGAAACATCACTAAAACACATGATCTCCTCAGTTCTTATAAGTTTACAGATAATTGAAAATGGATAGCTTCCAGGGTAAGCATGGTCCTGTCACGTCTACTTTGAGATTTGTTGCTGCCATCAAATTCCCATTTACCATGTTTTTTCTTTATTTTCTTTGTTCAAACATTTGATGTTTCTGTGTTCCATTGTGAATAAATGATGTTTATGAGATCACTGCATTCTGTTTTTAAACTGGGGTTGTAGATAAAATTACAGGATTAATATCTTAGTGCAAAAAGAGAAAAATGTATTTAATTCAACTGAATCAATACAACAACAATGACATCATCATAAACAAGTAAATACTATTTTATTAAAGTTGGGTTCAGATTAGGCTCTGCTGATGGCGAACAGCTACCCTGGTTTTATAACTTTCAGTCAGATGAGAATCAACCTCAGCCGTGATTCACTGTTTTGACAAGAACAGCAGCTCCAACTGGAAATGTGAGCCAACATTAAACACGCTATTCATATCAGTGTGAAGGTTAACTTCATGTTTAATTTGTACTGGTCGTCGGTGTCAGTAGGTCTGTACAAATTGACCTGATCTTCATGTTTTTTCCAGTTTCGGCAGATGTTCCTTGACAACGCTGATGATGGTTGACACCTCCGCCATGGCACCTTTACCTACGAGAAAGTAAGAAGAATGGGTACGGAAATACCTTACAACGAAAGGACTAAATCAGAGAGAGGAAGCAGCGTGATTGTTTTGTACAGATAAATTTCAAAGTTCTGAGTTGCATTGAGGCTGAGCTTAAAATATTAAATCTACTCTCTGAGGTATTAACAAAAATACATTTCTGTCATATTATCTTATGAGAGGGGAAATATGCTATCATATGCTATCTAATGTTCATAAACCGAGTAAATTGAAAGTGTAATGGCACTGAGAAACACTGAGTAACAGGAATGAGTGTCAGGTAGGAGTGTCAATCAGCAATGCTGATTCAGGATGTAACGTTTAATTATTTGGGTCAACAGACAGACAAGCAACTGTCTTCTAAAATGTATGGTTTAGCTTAAAGGGGCAATATCATGTAAAATCAACTTTTTTGAGTTTTATATCATGTTATAATGTAATACTCTCATGAAAAACATGCCCAAAGCCTTGCTTTGACTCATTCATGCATGTTTGAGAAATCCTGCAGAGTTTTTAGGCAGCCATGCTGAGGAGCAAAACAACAGGTGGGGACCAGACACACCCATGGGACATGTCTTTAAGCCCGCCCCCCTCCCCACACACCCCGCCCATGACTCCTACAGGCTCTTGGGTCAAAGTGAAAGTTAAACTTACTGTCTGATGCTCTCAACATTAGTTCTCACTCAGTGAAGCTCTTTTCAGATTAAAAATACCTTTGAGGAAAAGTATTTTCAGATGCCAAGTAAACTGATCATGGCGCACGTGCAATCCCCCGGCGTGCGCATGAGCCCACCGCGTGCGACCCCCCCCGAAAGGGAAGGAACAGAAGCAGAAGTTTGTTCTTAAAGAGACAGAGGCCAATTTCAAGGCGTTTAGAAGAGGAAGTGATGAGAAGATAAGTTTATTTTCTTTTTAAACATAAAAACAGCATTTTAATAACAGCTAAAGGTGACATATCCACTTTATTATGTTATAGTATTTAAATATATGCCTGAAAAACACATGATATTGGCCATTTAATAAAAAAAAAGTGAGATTAAATGAATAATTATTGACAAATAGGTTATTTACAATGCATTTCTGGCTTTCTCTTCGTCTTAACCATATATTTTACTTCAACTTGATGCACTAAAGGGGATAAATATACAAGGATTATTCAAATTGGACAAAATAGTTTATTAAAAGCTTTCAAAATAAACCTGAGTGGCAAATTTTAACTAATTAAAACATAGACAACACATATATTTAGTGTGTTAAATGCAACAGGAAGTAGACTAAAATAAAAAATAAGGAATAAGTGTAGCACCCTGGAATGTGGCGTTCACACAGAACAAATAATGCAACTGTTAGAGCAGAAAAAAACACTGCAACCTACTACTGAGCTATGTAAATGAAAACACAAAACGTAAAAGTGGCTTCTAACACAGAAACACATCTGTTTTCTTCAGTAACTAAACACAGGAAGATGTTAACTAACCCCCATTTTTCCTGGGTCAACCAGGAACGCTTTAGACAAAAGAACGGCTGTTCTGAATTCTTCAAGGTCTGTTTAAAAAAACAAGCACAGCCTGATACTTGAGGGAAAAACTATCTGTAGAGACTCGACACTTTTTATTTGGCTTTTGTTAATAATCATACAAAGGTAGAGCGAAATGAAAATCAAGAGAATGTGAGAGACTTTCAAAYCAAACCAAATACTGTATGAGCTGAGCATTTTAGTAGCTTTGAGGACAAATGTTTTTTGTTTCTTAAGTCAGAGTGTTTTAGGACACTGTTCAACAGGCTCTTTTGTGAACCTTGAGTCATTTTAGTACACAGGGTGCAAACACAGCTTAGAAGCAACGTTTTTTTTTAATGTTGCATCAAGAATTATCTGAAGACCTAAACCTCAAATTTTGATAGCACCAACCAGATTATTATGACCTCCCACTCTTGGCATTTACCATTTCCTTCCTCTGAAACTGGGGCAAACAAGTCAGGAGGTGCTCTTCTTGCCATTTCAACATAGAGTGCAAAACTTAAATTATTCATGTCATTATACCACATTGCTTTAACTTTGCTTCAAGGTTTTATCTCTTGACTGCAACAGTTTTAAGTGGCCCCCCCCCCCCCCCACACACACACACACACACACACACATCCAACCTGCAGTGGTGCTGTTTATTTTGGCTACTTCTTCAGAAAAACCATGGCTCCTTGTAATCATACTAAGGAAAACACAAAGCGTAAAACACCGTTTGTGTTCTTATCAACAGCAACGGTGCAAACAACTCAGAGGGAAGAGTAGATGCAGATTTTTTTTAAAGACTTCAGTTCCACCAGGATGTATTAATGACCTACTAGAAGACGAAAACCCCTGATTTATGGAAGCCTTTCTACAACCTTTTGTTCTTTCAGACCATATTTCTCCTATCTGAACATGTTGAGTCAACAAGCAAAGTCAATAAGTTCACGGGTAATCTTTACACCCTCTTAAATGACWAATTCCTCTAAATTTATGTGGGTGAGATCACAGTTTTCCACATTTTCTCCTCTGAGCAGCCGACTTGCATGTGCAAGTCACTGCAACATCAAGACTAAAAAAAAAAAAACAGACAATCGTATATTTCCACTGACTTTATCTGCACACCTGAATATATTTGGTTTTAAAGCTGTAAAAGACTCGGTCATTTAAAGCAAGTAAAAAATGATCATCACTCTTAAAAGTGGCGACTATTGGTTGAAATGATTATTGTCTGCAGTTAGTATAAGAGCTGACATGTTTTTTTCCTCTGCAGAGCAGAACAGTTTAAAGTTCTGACTGTCTTCATTTTGATTATTTGATTCAAGCTAATTTTTTGTCCCTAAATGAAATTGTTTTATTGTGATTCATTTTATTTCTTGTTTTATCAGAACCAATGCTGTAAAACAATCCCACATCATGATTGGGCTTTTAGTGTGTTTTATTGCAGGAAGAATACTGTCTTGCACATGTCCTCGTTTTAAAGTTTTTTGCAGGTAGCCCTGTACTTCGGAGCTGTAATGTTTCTTTTGATAACAGTGGTTCTGATGACAGTTCTCTTATCTTTCAGAAAAAATTGAACAAAGTTCTAACTTTTAGAAAAACAGAAAATTGAACAGCGGAACACATTTGTGCTGTTTATGTTCAGATGTAAATAAACAAAATGGTATTTTCAAAAAAACCCACCTTCATCTCCACAGACTAGCTTTTTAGTAATACAAGGAATTTCCAGATATCCAAACTCTTTGAGCCTAGACACCTGCTGGGCTGTGATGGGATGCTGCCACATAGCTGTATTCATAGCAGGGCAGAACAGAAGAGGTCGACTGACGTCCCAAGCTCTTACCACACATGTCTGAAAGAAAAAAATAAATAAGTAAAAACTTGAATGAAATAGGGGCATGTGATAGATTTTACTACATTTTAAAAACTGTAAAGACCCCCTTCCCTCCYCCCATGTTCTCACCAGCAAATTGTCACAAATGCCAGAAGCAATCTTTCCCAGAGTGTTTGCATCAAGGGGGGCAATGATCAGTAGGTCTGCCCAGCGCCTTAGCTCAATGTGCAGCACAGGGTCAGATCTCTGTGTCCAGAGCTGAACAAGAGACAGRATGTTTGGCAGCTGAGACACAAATTTCCTAACCTCTTCACAGGAATGCATGATGCCAACATTTCACAATCTTTCTGGCACTTGACCCGGTTTCTGTGTCTCAGATTTCTCAGAAATGGCTGTTAAGTCAATAGTTAGCAACTCATAACAACCTTTAATACACTTAGTGAATAACAACACGTAAAGGTCATTTGTACTACATTAATATATAGTGCATGTTTATTTAATAAAACACATAAAAATGAAATATTTATGCAATAGAAGAGAACATAAATAAAACCAATTATAAACTGAAAGATAAGGTAAATACAAATATTTCCAATGGTAATAGATAATAATAAATATAAAAGATTTGAAAATAATTCATGTTTTACCTCCCACTCATCCTTGTCACTGTAGATTTTTACTGAAACCTCTGCAGGATCGTAAAAGTGTTTGGCATGCTCTGTAGTGACCACCCTTATATCCACCTGAGCCACAAAATAAAATAATGATAGTGATCATTTAGGAGAGGTAGTTTTTTCTTGCATCTAAAAAAAAACCTAGTATATTTTTCATTAAATTGTGCTTAGATGTATATTTTAGTAGTGTGCTTTTGACGTTGCTGACAAATGTCTCCATCTTGCGGTAAAAATAAAACCATGCAAGTCAGTTAACTAAAAAGATGTGTGGTTTTGGGTAAGAATATCTGGCTACGTACATTTCACAAAAAACAAGTTTTACAATAATCGTGTATAACAGCTTACGCCGGGGAGCTGAAGAAACTGTGAGACGAGAACTGGTAGTTTCAAAGCTGCGACACTTCCTGTCACGCCAACAAGAACACAAAACTTCCCGGAAGACTTCAATAAATCCGTTTTCAAATGTGAAACCGGATTCTCGGTCTGCATGTTAGCCGTGGATATTATTGAAGAAAGTAGCCAACAGGCTGCTGCTGCGGTAGCGCGKAAGTCCACAACTTCCGTAAACATCCGCTAGGAGCCAATGAGAAAAGAGCACGACTTGCGGTCACACGTCGCTACGTCCGCCGTACGTGAACGCGCACGTTGGCAGAAGTGCTCTCTCAGAACGCTTCCGGGGTCGGTAGCGTGTCGCGTGAATAGTTCATTCATTGATTATGTAGTAAAGTTTTATTTTAAAACGAGCTTTTTGACAAACAACGATGACCCTCACGCCTCATGTATACTGGGCTCAACGTCACGAAGAAATTTACCTGCGCGTGGAGCTGACAGACGCCCAGGTGAGTTTAACCTGTTTTATGAGCATTCCTCATTCATCATTTTGATCTGTGTAGGTGTGGGATGCAAATGAGGCCTGGGCGTTTATTTGTAAATATAGCTGTTGGTTTGCATGCTGGAAGATGGAAACGGAGATTATTTTAGGTAATAATTAGTGCTGACAAAGCTCCTTGTCTCTGCCTGTGTGGGTTGAACCACACCAAGCCTGTTAGGTCGTGTGCAAAATTAACACCTTAAAGAAGCTTGTTTGTCTAAGGCCAGTAGGGTGGATTAATAATAGACTCACCCATCATCAAATGCGTGGGCGTGATTGTATATCAGATGACCCTCGAATAGCTTCAAACTGCAAGAATCTCATTCCTGCAGACCACACCTTTTTGAAAAAAAAAAAAAAAAAAACAACAACTATTTATAT